GTTCCACAAAATAAAAATAAAAATAAAAATAAAGTGATATTATTAATACCAATATTATTATTTTAGTGTCACTTACAGTATGTTGATATTTCATGTTACCTTTGATGTTCTATTTACATGTAAAGCAAGCATTTGGAGGTCTAAGGATGTAGTTCAGTTGCAGAGTAGAAAGAAGGGAAGAAAGAAAGAAAGATTCATTTTGACTTGTCCTGATTAAACTAATTTTTCATACTTTTTCCATTTTAGGAAATCCTGGACAAAAAGGCCAAAAGGGAGAAAAAGGAAGTGGAACCTCATTCCGTAAGTTAATAAATTCTTGTTTCCTGCATGCAATTTTTCTATGGACATTTTTCAAATGAATAAGATTGTTACATTAATGGTCTAAGCTTGAAACACATGTTAGGAAATTTGTCAGTGATCCATAGAGGCTGTTGAAGCCAGGCTCAGTTTTCTACAAGTAAAACATGCTAATTGGAGTAAAACAAATAGATTAAATTGTACCACTCTTTCCATCTCATTACCCATTTGTATTCTGTTTCTGTGATGAGCACTATTTTGTAAAAATTCCACATAGAAAATTGTTCAATTTTCTAGTCAATTTGTATCCACTGAAGGAAAATCAAGCTTATGAATAGAAACAATTACATCCTTTTTACCTACTAACTGCACTAACTAAAACTTTACATGTAGGAATTTAGACAGCCTAAGACCCTGAAAATTTTTCTGCAGGCCAGTTTTTCTGTTTGGTTTTACTAAAACATGAACAACTGAATTTCTATATTCTATTTTGAAATTTTGTATTTTCAAACCAGCAAGAGAAGAGATTTTTACACCAGAAATCTTTGTCAGTGGAAAGCAGACCTCCTGGTACAATTTAGAAAATCTATACATTGAATCAAAAGCTAAATATTAGATTGGATGCCATCAATTTGTCATGTTACAAGTAATTAGTTGTGTGTTTAGGCAAAATCTATATCCATATAAGGAAAAAGTTATGAAAAGAGTGAGGAATAGGCCAGCCAGATAACTTAGTGGATTAAAGGGCCTGCTTAGGCAGAGCTCAGAGGCCGGGGTTAGATCTCTGACGTGTGGTGCCCACCTTGGTCACCAGGGTGCGCTGAGACGGTGATTCAGACTGGGCATGGTGGCACACGCCTGTAATTCCAGCTCTTGGGAGGCTGAAAACAGGAGAATCACTATGAATCCGATCTGTGTAGTGAGACCCTGTACTAAAAAAAAAAAAAAGAAGACTGAGGAATCTCCACTTGAACTCACAGAATCAAAAAGCTGTTCTATACTCTCAGTGGGAGGTTTATGTGATGTCACCTGTGATTATGGGACTAAAACAAACTGATCGTAATCTATTCATTGAGGCAACACCTTTGTGCAAATCCTTTGACGTACCCAAATCTTACAGGTTTTAGTTCTAATAATTGTTTTAAAAAGTAGAGCACCAGTATGTCTACCCTTTTGCAAAACTAAGTGTTTTAGCCTATTACTATGTATGGATAACACATTTGGACAACGTATCATATTCATTGTGAAATTCAGCCAAAATAATTTTTCTTTTATTTTGAGACAGGGCCTCATTAAGACACTAAGTTTTCCAAGTGGTGCTTGAACTTCGACCTCCCAAATACTGGAATTCCTGGCATGCATGCCGCCCTGCACCCAGCTAGCATCCAGTGTCATGATGGATTCAAAGCTGAACAATGTAGAGTACTGTATATCTTCCCAGAATATTTAGTGATATTTGGTGAGGATTATTGTTATTACATTAAGATAGCAGAAGTATTAACATAGGTTTTATATTCTTCGTGTCTACTTATTCTTCAAAACAGTTACTTTTACCTTCTGTATGCCTTTTATTTCCCTCATTCTCTTTTACTCAGTTTAATTTCAGTTGAGCTCTTTAAGTCTCTCTTCTCCAGCTTTATGTGTATCTTTATCTATGCCTTTATTATTTTCTAATCTTTTTTTCTTCATTTCTTTCCTGGGGCTTTCTCCGTGCTTTTGAACATTGACATTAGTTGCATTTAGCCAGTAAGGAACCTCTTTATGTTTTTTGTCTATAAACTGAGTAGCCAGTTTCCTGACATTAACAAATGCTTGGAACATTTTTAAAGCTGTGTTCAGAAATGGCAGTTACAGATTTTTCATAGCTCTTTTGGAAATTATGTATGTTCATTTTGGGAAAAGCAATGAGAGCTATTTACATATACAAATTTCTCCCTGTGTCTGGCTCACAGTGAGTGTATAGCACCACAGCGTTTCAAAGAAAAGAAAGAATCATATACATGCACATCTAATGTAATGTGTTCTATGATTTCTATGTCTAATATATGAGTTGTCTGTCCTTGTCATTACAGATGGCTCTATCACTTTTCTTTTAATTACTATATATTATTCTAATATACTTTTACATAATAATTACCAAGACTTGACCATTCAAGCCCCATGTTGTAAACACTTAATGATTTTTGTTTGCTTTGGTTTGGCTTCACATGTATATACGTAATCTTTGGAGATGATGTTTCACTTCAAATTTGATACAGTTTGAATCAATTGTTCAAAGATGATATGCATTTTGTAATCTGATGGATTTGTACAAATGGCTCCAGAAAGCTTTTTCCCATTTCCTGTCCAGGACAATGCCTTATTCTCTACATCTTTAATTCTGATATATGAAATATCATATTGAATCATCCTACTATACATTTTATATGTTTCAGGCATGACTTAAATGCAATAAAATAATCATTTATTTCCTCTTTTATACGTCTGTCAGGACCAGTACAACTACCTGATTTATTTTGGTCAGAACACTTTTAAGATCAGGTGGGTTGGGCAGGACTCCCTCTGGTGACATCTCATTAAAAGGCTCTTCATCTCTGGACAAGTCATCAGCACCACTGATTTCCAAGATCCCTTTGTGCCTCCACCAGTTGACCTTGGTTCCTGTGTTGTGCCCGGCTTCTACATGGCTTCTCTTCTGATCCTTGGTACTAGTGGGCCTCTTTTGCTTTTTTTGTAGTATTCTTTACTCTCCCACAGTCAACTCCGCTCCCAGGCTGCACACAGCCATGTACACGGGTAGAGCATAGCAGCTTTTTTTCAAGTACAGGGTCAGGTGTTCTTTACTGTCCCCCACTCAGTCGTGCAGAACCCAATGCAGTCTATTAAGTTCTAGGAGAAATCTCATGAGCTACTGGTTATATGTAGGTTTTTAATTTTGGAATATTATGGTCAATCAGCACAGGGATGACCTAGAAGAAAACCCATTCACTTTTATTCATTCATTTATTTAGTATATAGTTATTGTGTGTAATTTCTGGAGCTGGAATGGCTAGTAAAATACATGGTGTCCTTAACTTTCCAGAGCTAATTGATTCTGAGACACACAGACAAATAAACAAATAACTACAACATAAGACAGGTATCCTGAGGAAAGAACAGGACTGTATCTGTATTCAAAAGCTATAAAAATTTTAATTTTTTAGAATAGTCAAAATATATTTATTTTTATTTTCTTATTTGATCTTCCTGTCTTCTTCTGCAAATTAGAGCATACTTTTTTTCTGAGTTTTGAAGTGAAATACAGTTGAGATGGTTCAACACAATCTTGAATTTGAACCATATCCTGAATTTTAAGTTACTTATTCATTCTTTAAATTATTCATTTCACAAAAACCATTTTGATCGTGAAAAAAATAATACTGATAATTTTGCATTCCAATAATCTCCTCTATTTTATGTGTTAAGTACAAAGCATGGAGAAAAAGAAATGCCTCAGTAGAAGAGATATTTTATATTGGCAAAGAAAGGGAAGAAAGTGGGAAAGCAGGAAAGGTAAGAAAAAGCAGAGGGGGAAAAGAAGCACCAGGAAAAACGTAGGGTTATGTGTCACCTCCGTGCCTCACCGCTGCCTACCAGATCACATTGTCGCAACTGTCCTTTCCTCCGCGTCTCAGCACAAAGCTCCAAAATCTACATCATTGAAGTCTAATCTATTCTAAATAGCATGCCTGTGTGAGCACTGCCACTTGCATCCTTTGCCCTGCCAAATGTCAATACCTACCTCACAGGGTTGTTGTGAGGACCAAAGAAGATATTGTTTGGGGTGGGGATAATGCTCTGTAAAACCATAAAGTGCTTTAAACTCATAAATTATGGTTCACAATGGTCTCTCTGAGCTGAAATTTGTTTCCTCTCTGGTATCCCCCAGATATTTTAAATCTGTATTCAGAATGGGAGAGAAAGCAGAATGGAGATGCAAGGAACCAAATAAACGTCAGGGACAGAAAGAGAGATGCTAGAGAGGAAGACAAGATTTTATATGAGCTAGAGCAACACAAGTGTGACCAGATCACAAATCAGTGAGTTTGTCTCAGCCCAGCAGGAGAGCATTAGTTATAAATAAAAGAAGTAACTAAAAAGAGTGCACACCACAGGCTAGAGGCTGTCAATAGAGGTCAGAACAAAATGTCAGGCTAATAAAGCAAGAGTCCAGGCTATGAAGGGCAGAGCCTGAGCCCAGGGCATTTCTGTTGAGAAAGAAAGTTCCAAGAAGTATTGAAACAAATTCAGACTTGTCAGTAGTACTTGGTTGGGGCTATCCCTGCAAAAACTCCAAAACCTTCAGAAAGAAAAGAAAAAAATAAAATAAAATAAAAAGGAAGATTACTCATTTGTCAAAGTTGTCTTCAGCATTAGCAAAGCAGTGTCATTGAATATTTAATTAGTGCAAATATCTACAGTTGAATGGAGTTGACCCACGGTTTTATTTGGCATGACTTTGCTCCCACTCTATAGTGGATGTTGGGGAGAATGCAGGAATCCTCTCATGCCATAGACCTCCATTGACACCAGTTGTAGAATGGCCATGAGCCAAGAAGTCCTGGGAAGCATTTCTAGGGGACTCAGTTCACAAATCATCCAACATCCTAGACTATATATAGATTGTCTTATATGAAATACTCCTCTGACCTTTCCAAATTAGTGTAGAAAAGATTTGTCTTAACTTTAGACAAAAAATTATTGCTGAATACACCCAGATCAAATACACAAATTACACAACCTTCAAAAGCACATAAGAAAAGGAAGCCTGCATCAATGTATGGCTGACTGTATTCTCACCCTAACTGGGAAGGGCATCGCAATCAAGCAAAAGAATTCTTTACCACATAATTAACTGCTCTGTAAAACTCATTCCTAAACAATACCTAATTTCTAAATAATTATCTGTCTATATTATGTTAGTATTTTCAAATGTACTTTGTGCCTGCCCAATGAGGCTACCA